TCATGATGTGGGGATCTTCTCAGCAGCAGCCTGGAAGGCTTGTGAAGGTAGAGGGTGAATGAATGCAGCAGAGTGTAGAGAAATCCTGGAGGACAACCTGATGCAGTCTGCAGGAGAACTTTTCATCCGATAGCTTAATATAAGGCTATATAATGTTACAAAATGCATAATTAGTTCACCTACATATTATTCTGAATCAGTTTCTAAACCAGTTTCACGCCAACGATGGGAAGAAACAACACAAACAAACATCACAGCAGCTTCAACCACATTATTTTATTTATGTCACAAACTAAAGATTCACTCTGAATTTTACAAACTAAAATAAGTTCAAACACTCAGATATTTTACAGAAGTTTACAACAGGACGAGGAAACAGGAGGTGGGACGACGTTTAAACCTTTCAGGTTCTTAAAAAGCCTTTTTTTTAGTTATTTTAAATGCTGATCACAGAAGTGCAGCAGTCTCACTGCCACACGGCCGACATTCAAACAGTCATGCTTTTATTTATTTTTGTTCTGTTGCCATGGTTTCCAGTGTGGGCGGGGCCAAAAAAGACCCCACCCACGTCCGTTTTTTTAGCTTTTTTTTTCCTTTTTTGAAGTTCATGCAGAACGTTTTTGTTTGTGCTTCACAGTGAGTTTGGTAAAACTTTCGGACACATGCATGCAAAACAACGAAGCAGCAACAGATAGTAGAAACTGAAACTCCAGCTGGACGAGCACGTAGGAAATTTAAATATGGACGTTTGTTATGTTGGACTGGATGATGAAAGACTGCTTTTCAACAGGGATGGAAAAAAAACGGTGCTTTCCAAGTTTAATCAGCATCGAGATGATGATCTTCACGGTGCCTCAGAAGCACCAACACTGGAGAAGGGACTCATTCCCCCGACAACTGCCCTGAAAGACGTTCTTTCGGGTTCTTCTTGTGGGAACATGCTAAAGGTTCTGGCTCACGACTTCCTACGGAGGAAAAACAGCCAATAGATTGTAAACAAAAGATGGACAGGAAGCATCTTCTGCTTTATCTCCAACATCCAGCAGGGGGCGACTCCACTGGTTGACTAGAAGCCGATAAGAAAGTGATCCTACTTCTTCCCTGATTTGTTCCCGCAGGAAACATTTTCCTTATAAGTTTATGGTCTCAGCTGCTAGTTTCACGTCTCCTTTAACACAACGAGCTGTTCGTTTAGCAAATCATGGTCCCGTTAAGAGGAAAATAAAGCCGGTTATGTTTTAGGGTGTAAACATTGTCCTCGCTTGTTCTGACCGGTTTTTGAAGACCAAGATGGCGACGGTCACATCTCAAACCCTTCAAACCGGAAGTCCACAAACCAGTTTGTTAAGTCACAGCGGCTACGTCCATCTTTTATGTAAAATCCGTCTTGAACACGTTAAAGGACATAAAGGGTCAGTTTTAGGCTTTGAAGCAGTTTTATACTCAACGGAACGAACTTAAGCACTTGGATGGAGGCAGGTATCGGACAGAACCGTAGGAGTCGTGTCTGGTTTCAACAAGAGACACTTGGAGGCTAAAAAACATTTAAAACATTATAAACAGCAAACGTTTCTCACAGTCTAAGCAAAAAGAAAAGTAGGATTGTCACAGTAGCCTGTATTTACAACAACATGTACAGACAATTAACTGGATACACAAACACATACAGTCACACATGTGGCCAGTAAATTAGTTCTGATGTGTTTTTTTTGTCTGGCAATAAAACTCAGAGCCTTCTCAATAAGCCAGGAGCTCTTTTAAGGATTCTTGCTAAGTATTGGACCGATTTCATCATTTACACCAAAACAACGTGTGAAAACAGATTTTAAAATGACGGAATTATCCTGTAATTGAGTTCTAAGATATTCCTTTTGGTGTTTTCCTGATTAGTGTCAAAGAAAAGTCCAGAAGTTTTCCTTCGAGACAGCTTCAGGAGGAGCCGTTCTGCTTTTTAATCCCGTCTGTTCCCGGTTCTCGTGTTCGCCGTCGACTCGGTGACGACACTCGCACAGACGCTGCAGTTTCAGCATGGACTCGTGAAAACATGGCCCGGTACCATTTGGTGCGACGTTTGGTAGCACAGCGCTGTAAAACTGTGTGGCATTTCAAAATAAAAGCCTGCAGGCGCGCGTTAGGATTCTGAAAAAGAAAAAAAAAATAAAGACGGTGGAGAGACAAAAGGTGGACAAGAAGAGAGAGCCGGACTCGGACTGAGTTCATGACGAGCAGCTTCTTGTGCTTTTGTTTTCTTTCTCCGTCTTCTGCTACATTTGCTGCCTCACAATCCCGTCAGTCAGTCCGCTGTGTATAGATATTTATCTATATGTGTGTGTTTGTGTCGGTTTGGTCTCACCTGCCAAATACAGAGCACTGAAGCCTCATTAGCGCCCCCTGCAGGCAGCGATGTTGCACCAGTTTGCATCTTTGCAGCCTTGTCAATGAATTTAAATGTCTGCATTTAGTGACAAGTAGAGACTTGCACCTGGTCCAGTCCGAGTCACTGAATATTTAGTTTCTGCCGCTGCTCAGTCCCAATCCAACACCGTTCTCCTGAATAATACACACTTCAGGTACAATAAAGTTATTAAAATCAATCCAGTGTACATGCTCGACAGCAAAACGCTATAGACCAGCTGTAGTACCTGGTTGTTCCACCAGGTGGAGCCTCTCACTGTTTACTCCTGTAGAGACCAGAGGAGGCGTCTACAGACTACAGCTCATGGTGGCAGCAAAGGGCATTGTGGGAGTTTAGCAGCAACCAGGTACTACAGCTGGTCTAAGGTACATTTTCTGACAATGCATGTAGGAAATCCAGGTTTTATTCTGGAGCTTGTAGAGCCTCAGAACATTCTACCCTCTAAACTACCTTTGGACAGTGCTCTGCGATGTGAGCGTACACCTCCAGAACATTAACGAACAACTTAAATGCCAAAATGAAATGGTTTTCTTAACGCATTGCAGTGATTCAGTTGTCCAGTAGAAACACTGGATGGGTTGTAACGTTGATGTACTTAAAGTTTGCATCTTGGAGGAAACTGGTTTTGATTTGGGACTCAGCAGATGCTGAACATGGAAGGACTCAGAACAGGACGGTGTTCAGATGTTTGGCGTTTGTCAGGTGAGATTTAAACCCTTAATGTTTTTGTTTGTTCATTGGTTCAGTGACGTGGAGCAACAAACGCCACCGAGTGCTGCGCCTCGCTCCTTCCTCTTCCCGCCTCCTCCTCTTCCTCCTTCACCACCACCAGCGCTTGCGTCGAGTCACACGACTGTTTCTCTGCGTCCTCGTCGTACGTCGAGTCCGTCGTGCTCGGCTTCGACCTTCCTCCTCCTCCTCCTCTTCCTCGGTGGAGCTTCGGTAGCGCCAGAGCCCCACAGGTGCGTTTGGCCAGCGCTGCCAGCTCCTCCCTGGCGAGCGGGTTGAACAGCAGGTAGAGCAGCGGGTTGACGCAGGCCGGCAGCGGCGCCACCAGCAGCAGGACTCCCTTCGCCGCCTCCGGCCCGGCGGCAGGAAGCCTCAGCAGGGCGGAGAAGGAGAGGAAGGCCACGGGGAGGTAGAGGAGGCAGTCGGAGAAGAGCAGCCAGGCCACGTGCCGAGTCAGCGCCGCCTCCTCCTCCGAGGCGGGCGGGGCCTTGTTGGCCCGGCAGTACAGGCGAGTGTAGGCGAGCGTCATGAGGAGGAAGCACAGCGAGTCGAACAGCACCAGGGAGACGGAGAAGGCCAGCGAGGACGAGGAGGACGGCGACGGCATCGGCAGGCAGAGCGAGGTGCTGCTGTGTCCGGCCAGCAGGGGGGGCAGCGTGACGGCCAGGCCCAGCAGGAAGCAGAGGCCGACGGACAGACGGACGGACAGCGGCGACGAGGAGCGACCTGGGGAGGAAGCAGGAAGCATCTTTACAGGAAGAACCCAAACTTTGGCTTCTTTGAGATTTAATGGCTTTTGGATGCATCACCTCTGAAGACTTTATGTCTCAACTGCTTTTAAAAAAATAAAACTCATTAGTCTTGTTGGTCCTGTACGGAAACCCAATAGGGACATGGAGAAAGAAAAATAAACAGGGAGAGGGACAAAAATAGACGTATCTTTAGCAAGATCTCACAAAAGATACCTCTATTTGTTTTTCCTCTCCCTCTCCTCTCTAATTATAATCTGTTTCGCTTTGTATTTATTCAGTTTTGTGCTTTGAAATGCTGTTAAATCTATAATAAGAAAATGATTCTGTTTAAATCCGCTCATGGTTCTCTGAACGTTTCCTCACCGCTGCTCCCGTCGGTTTTGTTGCGTCGAGCGTCGGCGGCCATGCATCGCTGCAGGGCTGCGACGGTCAGCAGGAAGAGGCCGGTCTGTGACGCAAACACACACAGGAAGCCGCTGAATCGACACAGGAAGCTGCTCTCCCACTTTGCACCGTACCTGCAACACAACAACAACAATAACACAACGCTGAAGAAGATATACAACATTTATTATCGGATAAACTGTTCAGAAAGTCGATTTGTAAGTATTTAAACATGGATTTACATGAGTTTTGTCAACATATAAGGTTAGCAAATGCCCACGTTATTCTATAGAGCCAGCTAGCTGTTAACCTAGCTTAGCACAAGGGTTGTCCCGATCAAGTTCTGTTGCCATCAATCCAATCCAAGTCATTTAATGTTTAGCTAGAAACAGTAACTGTGATTAAAACCTGCGGGTGCTTGATGATCTCGGACCATCAGGACGTCCCTACTTAGCATAAATACTTGAAGCAGGGCTAAACAGTTAGCCTAGCTCCTTCCAACACTCAAATACACACCTACCAACATGTAAACTAGGACAGTTTATAAGAAGCTTTTGGGACTTTCAGGAACATAAAAATGTGTATGAATTGAAGAAACAGCATTCGTGACACCAAGTGGTCCATCAGAAATGTGTTATGGTGCGTTCAGGTACATCAAAAGTGTACTGTTAGTGTCTTGGAGGTCGTTAGGGACCTTAAACATGTATTATGATGCATTCAGGTGCATCAAGTCGTGGGACTTAATGGCGGCAGGTTTATTTTTAACCTTTCGAGTTATTTCTTCACATTTCCAGGCTTTACAATGGAGCCAAGCGAACCGAAAACTGTCTAAATTCAAACAATTGAGTATTTTTAGAGCTCCCTCGGGGGTCCCTAGAACCCGGAGTTCTCTCGGAGAACCTGGATGATCTGTTTGGTTTCGTACCTCCAGAAGCTGCCGAATGTCCAGGCGTCCACCGCCGCCAACCAGCCGCTCCACACTCCCATCAGGCCGTTCACCAGAGCCAGCAGGCCAATCAGCAGCCTGGGGGGCGTGGCCGAGGCGGCGGGGGAGAAGAAGACGGACAGGACGACCAGGCTGTTGCTGACCAATGAGATGGCGGCGATGAGCCACACCCCCCCGCGGATCATCCAGCTGCCCAGCAGGTGTAGGCAAGGACGGAACGGACCTGCAGGAGGGTCAACCAACAGAACTGGGACTGAACCGGGTCTCTTACAGCAGCAGGAAGGTCGGTCAGAGTTCAGAGTTTACTTATGTGTTATTTGGGACCTGAATCTTGAGAATTTCATGTTTTCAGACTTGGGAATTTTTCCAATTTCACCCTCAAAAAAATCCCTGACGCTGTTTTCAGAGTTCAGTATCTCCAGAAATAAAACTCCCACAGACATGAAATCTGGTGAGAACCAAACAGAATAGTTTCCATCAGATCCAGATGATTGAATGGATCCAGCAGAGGATAACATTTAAATTACGGCTCCATGAAAATGGACAAAAATACAAAATTTCCAATGACGGTGGTATTGGGCTCCAGAAAGTTCCTCTAAGTGTCTATCTTATTTCTTCGAAAATCCACTCTTTGGTTGACATCTAACCAACTGTTGAGGCTCTAACGTCAATAGAAGTTGATATGACAAGACAACGTTCACATTTTTTGATTTTTTGATTCAGACCTCTCAAAAATGACTCAAACTGTGTCCAAAATAAGATAAAAACAGTCGAAAACGACAATAACAATAATTATTTACTAAATTTTAAAACCAGGCTGGCATTGTGTCTCCAGGAAGTTCCTGAGAGGCCTAAAAATTAGTGGAATGTCAACTAGAGTCAGTATTTTTAGTAGAAATATGGACATAACCATTTATACACACTTAGAAGAACTTTCTGGAGACACAAAACCAACCTTGTGTTAAAATCTTACACTTTGTTCCATTTTCAACAACCATTAATGCTCATTATTGTCATGTTGGACAAATCTTTGAACAAATTTTGCACCATTTTGGACAAGTTTCAAGTCATTTGGGACGAAACTCAAGTCATCTTTAGTGAAATGTTGACCAAAGGCTGGATTTTAGTAGAAACATGGATCCATCCATATTTCAGGGTTCAATAATTAAACATGTGTCCTCTGTTGGATCCATTCAGTCATTCTGATCTGTTTGAAACTCTTCTGTCTGTGTTGTCACCACATTTCATGGCTGCTGGAGTTTGATTTCTGGAGATACTGAACCCTGAAAATGGCTTCAAGGCAGGAGGGCAGCAGTAATGTAGGAACCATGTCTATGACCTTCAGAGCTGCTGGGTTTTGTTACCTGGCGTCGGGCTGCAGTGAACCGAGTGCTGAGGTTTGGGTTCGTCCTCAAACTCCATCAGGAAATCCTCCCAGTCCTGATCGACTGCAGAGAGAGAAGACCGATAAAGTCACAGCATTCAGATGAATTCATTTAGATGAGTGCTCCTGAAGAGGGCTGGTCCATCTGTACACGCAGGTAAAACTAACTCCTAATCGACTTAAATGATGCAGCTGATCAGTTCAGCGTTCACTAGAAATAATTCAGAGAAGATGTTTGAAGACTTCTGGTTCTTCTGCAGCTTCACGTTGAGGCTCAGTGAATAAAAACTTCATCAACCAGTTTGCAGGTTAAACGGCTTCATCGTGAGGCTGAACCTTGACTGGAGAAGCCGGCGGCGGCGTCTCTTCCGGCCGACTCGGCCTCGTCTCTCTCCCAGGACGGAGCTCCTCCTCGCCGGTCGCAGGACACGAAGGCGCAGCACTGGAAGGCGAAGGGAAGCTCCATCACCCTGGAACACAAACACAACGCTGGAGGACTCCACAAACCAGCTGCCGATCTACAACCAGACGTCCGCCGGCGCTCACCTGACCCGGGGAAGCTCCTCCCGAGGAATCAGCTCCATCAGCTGATCGTTTCCGGCCAATCGCAGGTGAGTCAGGCTCTGCAGGCCAATCAGGGGCAGAGACGACAGCTGATTGGACGACAGGTCGCTGCAGAGAGAACGAGGAGAGAAACATGAACAAACACGAGCTCCTAGAATCCACAGACAACAACCAACATGTCTATTATGGTGCATTCAAGTGCATTAAACGTGTATTATAGTGTTTTTAGTGTCTTTAGATACCTTAAAATGAATTATGGTGTGTTCAGGGTCATTAAAAGTTGCATTCAGGGTCATTATAGGTGTAATATGGTGTGTTCAGCAACAATAAAAATGCATTATGGTGCATTCAGGTGCAACAAATGCATATTATTGTTTGGTTAAGTGCATTACAGATGTAATATGGTGTGTTCAGGTGCATTAAAAATGTCTTATGTTGTGTTCAGGTGCATTAAAAGTTATGTTCAGGAACATTCTAGTGATAATAAGGTGTGTTCAGTTACAATAAAAGTATGTTATTGTATGTTCAGGTGTATTAAAGACATACGGTGTGTTGTGTTCAGGTGCATCAAACATCAGTAAAAATGATCAATAACCATCTAGTGAAATGTAATATTTGATTATTTTCCATTTTTCAGCTCCAGTTTGGACGTTTGTGCTGAAACCAAACAGCAGCTTAAACCAGAAACAGATTTTACTCCGACAGCAGAAACTCACAGTTTGTTCAAAGCAGGAAGAGCCGAGAACGAGTTCGGCTTGACGGACGTCAGCCGGTTCCAGGACAAGTCGCTGCAACAAAAACAACAAATAACCAGACAGAGTTCATTACAACAGCACTGTAAGCATTTAATTCATAAAAACATCAAATTAAATTAAACAAACAATGACATTAAACAGCAGATGTTGTGTGCAGCTTGTTCTTCATCATATTATTTGATTATAACATGAAATAAAAGTTTTTTGAGGCTTAAATTCAAGTAAACAAACACACAAATAAAGAAAATAAGTCAGAGAGGAAACAGCAGCTGGCAGGTAAAATATTAAAATCTGCCTTTTTATTGACACGTTTATCTATTTATTCTTTATAAAGTGAACGTTCTAAAACAGGACTCGTGTTCTCGCTCCAGCGCTGCGAGGTTTAATCTCCCAGCGACTGTGTGGTTCTGTTATTTCGGATTACAGTGAAAGCACCGCGGCTCCTGGCGTAACAGCCGCTCTTTGTTTCTAATCCCGGGATGAAAGAACGCGTGTGTTTAATGCTCTTACGTCTGTAATACGATCAGAAAGTTCATCACAGCGTTCACGGAGGCAGAACTTCACCGTGACGCGGCTCCACGTGACCTGTGGGGGGCGCCGCCGAGCATCGCTACTACAGCCAGAACTGTTACCTCTGCTGGAGGTTTTATGGTGAGTTCAGGTGCCTTAAAGGTATTAAGATGTGTTTAAGTGCAGAAAAGATGTATTATGGTGTGTTCAGGTGCTTTAAAAATGTATTATTATGAGTTTAAGTGCATAAAAAGTGTATTATGATACGTTCAGGTGTATCGAATGTGTATCGTGGTAACTTTAGGTACATTACTTGTATATTATGGTGTGTTCAAGTGTTTTAAAGGTGAATTATTGTGTGTTTAAGTACATAAAAGGTATCTTATGACGCGTTCAGGTGTATCAAATATATATTATGGTGTGTTCAGGTGATTTATAGGTGCACTGTGTTATGCTTAAATACAGAAAAGATGTGTTATGGTACGTTCAGGTACATTAAAAATGTATCACTGTGTGCTGAAGTGCATAAAAAATACATTATGATGCGTTCAGGTGCTTTAAAAGGTGCATTGTGGTGAGTTCAGGTACATTACTGGCATCTTATGGTCTGTTCAGGTGTTTTAAAGGTGTATTAAGGTGTGTTTAAGTGCATTAAAAGTACACTGTGATGTGTTCAGGTGCATGGAATGTCTATAATAGTGCATTCAGGTGCATCAAAAGTGTGTCATGTTGCGTTTAAGTGCATTAAAAGTACACTGTGATGTGTTTAAGTAAATCAAATACATACTATGATGTGTTCAGGTACATTAAAGCTGTATTTTTGTGCGTTTAAATGAATAAAAAATACATTACGATGCGTTCAGGTGCTCAAATGTATAGTACAGTGTTCAGGTGCATTAAAGGTGTATTACGGTGTGTTTAAGTACATGGTACTTTGCTGACTCTGAGCCAAACTCTGACATTGTACCTGTCGATCGACCTGCAGACCACCTGGACCAGAGTCTGGCAGCACTTAGAGGGGCGTCTCCGGACCGCCTGCATGGTGTGTGTGTGTGTGTGTGTGTGTGTGTGTGTGTGTGTGTGTTCTTACAGCGAACGAAGCGACATCAGACCGGCGAAAGTGTTCTCCTCAACGTCCTCGATCTCATTATGATGCAGGTCACTGAAACACACACACACACACACACACACACACACACACGGGGGTTTCAGACTCTCCTCGGTCCTCACAGATGCAGACAAACACGTATCTATTTCCATGACATCACTTTAATCAAAATTCGGCTTCACGGCGAGTTTCTCTCTTTTTTCCTTCCGAGCGACCTGATTGGTCAGAAACAGACGACAACGGCGCTAATTATTCCCAAAACGCACAGCTGGCTGCACTTTACCGGTTGCCGTGGCAACCGCGGATTCAACAGCGGCGCTTTACGGGTCGGAAACGAGTCGCATCTGAGCGAAGAGGAATAAAGTTTAATTAAAAGTGGAGCGGAGATAAGACTCACATCTTCTGGATGCTCTCACAGGCCGAGAAGCTGGGAAGAGTCTGGATCTGGTTATAGGAGAGGTCGCTGCAGAGACAGAGAGCTGTCAGCGCTGAAGGAGTCCTACACACACTGAACGCATCACAAGAGCTCACAGAAAACACTAAAAAATAACGTGTTTTATCTCTAGTTTTAAACAGTTTACTGTTGTTTTACAGATGTTTGACAGTTTTATTAATTCACAGATAATTTCTTGTAAAATCACATAAAAAAGCACAGATTTACAAGTTGACTGTTAAAGAAAAAAAGACCAAAAACGTGAACGTTCACATCGAACTCAAAGAAATTTGTCCTATTAAACCATTTGACTGTAAAATTACAGGTTAGTGTCTTAAAAATCTGTTTAAAATACCTTTTTTTAAAAAACAAAAATAAACCCCAGATCTTTGCTGATATTTTCACAGTTGTTTTTCCTTTAATCTGTTTATTCTAGTTTATTTTCATCAGTGCTGGACTGCGGCGGCGTTTGTTCGTGTTCGACTCACAGCAGCTGCAGGTTTGGAAGCTGCTCACAAACCGAACCGGGCAAAGACGTGATCCGAGCTCCAGTGATGGTTCTGAAAACACAAAGACGACGTGTGAGAGGAGTTTATCATGATGCGTTCAAGTGCAGTTTCATATGAAAGCCGAATAACGGTGTGTTCAGGTACAACAAAGACTTATAACGGCGTATTTAGGGCTTATTCTGATGCGTTCAGGTTCATGAAATATGGTCAGCTGTTGGGATAAATGCATGTGTATTAGATGGTGACATTGTGAAGGCTTTTTTAGACACATCATGGTGCGTTCAGGGACATCAAAAGTGTATTAGATTGTATCATGGTGCGTTCAGGGACATCAAAAATGTGTTAGATTGTATTATGGTGTGTTCAGGTGCCTTTAAGATGTATTAAGGTGGAAACTGTTCACATACAGTCAAGGAAAACACAAAAAGTGATAAAGTTCTTTGTTTTTGGTGCGAGTTAGAAATAAAATGTTAATATGGAAACGTTTGACCGAACAGAACCGATTAATGTGATGAGTTTGGACTGAAACGAGCCGAGTGGAGGAATGCTGGAGTTTTTATTTCCAGCTACCGATTAGACGTGAAGTTACCGTTTAACGCGCTGAACTCGGCTCAGATGGAAAACAAACACAGCGAAGGTGTTTATTATGACACCAGAAAGTGGGTCACAACAAGGAGGGAGGAGGAGGCGGGAAACCGAGTCCAGCACAATAACGGATTAAACTCACAGACTCTCCAGGCTCCTGGTTCCCGTCAGGTCTGGAAACTCGGTGAGATCCGCGGCTCCGTTCAGAGACCTGACAGAAATAAAACAGCTGATTCAGGAGGAACATGAGGCAGCTTCTGGTCAGTTCGTCGCATTCTTGGTGTCATTAGACTTAACGAGGCTCCGGCTAATTACTGGATCACCGTCCGCTGAACTTCAGCTTCTCTGTGAGCTCAGAATCAAATGACCCGCTTCAGAAAACCTGAAGTTCTGAACTAAAGGCAGCAGGTTCTGGATGTTTGGTCTCGTTTTCCTTCACTGTGGATGTGTTTTAAATTAAAGAAAACCTGAAAACAAAAAATCAAGTTGCAAAAACTTTACAAAAAAAATCAACCATTTGCACAAAACACGTTCTGAAAATGTTGTTTAGCTGCAGGAAGTGTTTCCTCAGAGCACAAAGGAGACAAAGACAGGAACAAAAAGGAAAAAGTTAAATATCTGCAGTGTGTAAAATCACATGTGGACAATAATGTTGAGTTCAGATCATCAGGTGGTACCAACACCGGAACAAGAACCTAAAAGTTTTCGTCGTCTTTCCATAAAAACAGAAGTTTTTGTAAATTTACGCAACATTTAAGGAAAAATTGTTCCTGTGACACTGAAGCTGTGAGTGAATGTTTGGATAAATGAGGGAATAAAAGTTTAAATTTGTCCGTCGTGGCTTTGAAGTTTTGTAAAGCAGGTTGTTTTTTAAAGAATCTGTTTTGTGCAAAAAGGTTTATTTTGCAAACTGTTAAATAAAACATAGAATAAAGTGAACATGATTCTCAGATCACACATGAAGCATCAGGAAGCTAAAAATCCAACAATTCTTTCTGCCTGTACAGCTTCTGGCTGATAAATTGTGTGAATTTGGCGTTTTTTTTAAATTAAACATCTTTCTAAGCCGCCGGCAGGTTTTGTGGTCCAGAGGGTTCGTGTGAAATAAAACATCTGATATAAATGTGTGTTTAAAAGTGAAATCGAGCCCCAGAAGGACTGATCTCTGGTGTTCCTCACAGCGTCCGAAGCTCCGGCAGGTTCTGAAACGCCGAACGTCCGACGGACTGGATCGGGTTGTCGTAGAAGAATCTGAAAACAGGAACAGAAGCAGCTTTAAAACCAACACAGGAGGATCTTTGGTTCTAAATTATTCCTTCGTTCAGTTCTACGTTGCGTTTACGTCAAGGAAAAGTTTTAAATTTGTGATTAAAGCGAATATTGATCTGAATCTTTTTCTGTTTTCTGCACTTTTTATGAAGGAAACTATAAATAAAAAAAATCCATGATGTCATTTTTAAAGCATCCTTCACTTTTAGTCTCTAAAACTTCTGCACAGAACTGTTTGATTTTTATTCACCGATATCGCCATTTGCTGTCCCTGCAGCGCCCCCTGCTGGCCGGAGGTCCACAGTTCATCTACAGACTGAACAAGTTGCTCGTTTTCAACAACTAACAGAAACATGAGCAGCTTTTAAACTACAAATATGAAGAATTAGAAGTTTATACGTGCTGCTGTTGGTCTTTAATAATAAAATGATCCTGTAATCTTGCTTCTGCTTTTGTTTTTTTTAATGAAAAGCACATTTCAGGCCATTTAAAATGATTTTCTTTCACCAAAGCTTCACCAACTTTTGTAGAGAAAAGAAAACTCAGAGACGGTTTTCATGCTAAACATAAACCAATAAAATGCACATTCAAACCAATTTAAGCCATTTTTTTCAGAAACAAATTGCACATTCAACAGCATGTAGTTCAACCACACAAACAACTGAAGTCATTTATACATTTAAATGTAAAGATTTCTTTAATTTAAGCCACAAACTTCTGTTCTGTGATGCTTAAGCATTGGTTATTAAACTTAGACAGTAATATATTGATTATAAACTACACATAGCTGCTGCAGAATGGAGTTAAAAGGAGCAAAAATGGTTCTACGGTGAGATTTTAAACCAAAAAACCTTAAAAAGACCAAAAAATGTAAAAACAGAATTCATCTTTAAAAATGTAAAACAAGTTTAAAACATTCGTCAGACCGTCGTTTCTGTTTGGTTCGTTTCCTGGTGTTGGTACCTACATGGTGATCAGCGACGGGTTTCCGGTGAAGGCGTGTTCTGGGATGGACTGGATGTTGTTGCTATGGAAACCACTACGCAGAAAGACAAAACAAATCACCAACGAGCATCTACACATATTGATTCTACGTAGAAGTCACACTTAGAAAAATCAAACCAACACCAGACGATGAGGAGCCTGAACAGAGTTAGCAGCTCATGCTAACGTTCGCTAATTTAAGGATCATTTTTCGGTCGGACTCACAGCTCCTTGAGGTGACTCAGCGACCGGATGGCCGTAGGAAACTCCACCAGGCTGTTGTAGTTCAAATCCCTGAAGGAAGAGACAGAGTTCATTATGGAGCGTCTGAGCAGCAGCGCCCCCTGCTGCGAGGAGGCCGACAGTTCGTTTACATGTGAAACCAAAATTCTGAATTACAAGCTGCAAATAAAAGTTGTTGGTTGATAATCGATAAATATATCTTCAAAACCTGCTTCGTCTAATTGAAAATGTAAGATTTTGACTTCTAAAAGTGACTCGGAACCGTAAATGGGAAAAAGCTGGCATTAAACTGGCAACGGTTAGCTTTAGACCAGAAAAGTTCAACACCAGGAAAGAAAACAAACCTCTAAACTGTGACTAGCATTGACTCAATACTAGAGCTGGACCCGAATATCCGAGTATTCAGTCGTTGTCGGGTATCCAATAGCAAATTTGACCACCTGTCGCTACAATACGTAAAGTATAATACATGTAGACTGGTTATACCAGTTCTAAACAGGAAATCTTTATCTCTAGATCAGGTAATGTCAGCTCTAGATTGGGAACACTGGATCTTATGGGGAGTGTTCAGGTCTAGACCAGGTACTGTGACCTCTATACTGGGAACACTGTGTCTCAGACTGGTAACACAGCTTTAAACTGGGAGCATCAGCTGTACACGGGGAGTGCGTCGGCGTATCCTGGAAAGGGCGATCTTTACGGCGCTGTGGGAACGTTGGTGTCGGACTGGGAAAGCGTTTCATGTAAATGTTTGCGTTTCGAGCTCGATGTTTAGCTTAATCCTTTTTCCGTCCTTTAAGTTTATTAAAGAAACATTTAACGGTTCCTCCCTCGTTCCCGGTTCTCTTTCATCACCAGCAGAGACTAGAGCATTCCTCGAGTCCACACATGGCTTCAATTAGGTCCTCACATCCATCTCTGGGATGCAGGTGGCTATTACGCACACACAGATATGCTGCGAGTGGAATGAAGCTGCCACATTGTGAAAATACCATTAAATTGAAATTGCTTCAGTCTGGTTCTGAGTGTGTGAGTCCATGAGCGTTTGATTGGTAACAACAATAGCTGGTTTCTGCTTTCCCAAGCTGCTATTGATGGAGCAGGGAGGCCTCTGATTGGACGATTTAGGGTTCAGAGGGGAACGTCTCGGTTTCTGTCGAGTCGTATTGGAAGCTGTGCTGTTTGTTGATTGGGTTCAACAGGACGAGTATCAGCGGATCAGGGAACGGTCCGGTTCATGTCTGACACCATCCACCTGCTTTTTATTCTAAGTTTGTGCTTTAAAACAAAACGCAGCAAACAGACGTTGGACACTAAAATAATCCACACTGAGTTCGAGCATCTTAAACCCTAGAAGTGTCGCCTGAGAGGCGTTTTTAACTCCCGTCTCATTTCTCCTCGCTGTGGTTCATGTTTCTCTGCAATATAAAGTCCTGCAACTCAGTGGAAACACATAAAACCATGAAGAAGGAGAGAGAAGCTCAGGAATGTCTTACATTTGCAGTTATTTATTGATAAAGGTTGGATTTTCTTCTAA